CATTTACATTTGCTGTTACAGAGTGGGGATCAGACCATACTTACTTTTTTAAACCAATATCTCCCCTCACCCAAACAATATGTTGGTGATCGTTTCCTTACATCAAGGCAGAGCCCTTTCCATGCAGCATCTGCAGATGATGCAGAGTATTGGGATGGGAGACCAAGGTTCATAAGAAGGTTGCACGTGGGTCCACTGATCCACCTGGAACTGGTCTCTGATGTTGGCCACCAGGCAGTTCGGGGGAGTGTCACTGCTGAACCTTTCTCCCCATTGTTAGGTCTGATCAGATAATTGAATGGTCACCCCTTTAGGCCACTTCACAAGGGACATTCCCTTTTGCTTAGACCACATTCCACTTGCTAAGACCATTATCTTTCCCCCTTAGGACCTGCCCAGAGAATTCTCCACCCAGAGAATTCTCTGCCCAGAAAAAGCCTGCCTAGAGTCCTTTAAAATCTCTGACTCCCCATCCCTGGGTGCTGGTGCCATTTGGGGGCTCAGCCCATCTGGTATCCAGATGACCTAATCCTATGTAATAAAAGCCTAATATGCAAATTGTCCCCTCAGGTGGGCAGTCGACTGGGAGACCAGGAGTTTGACCACTTGCTATGACATGCCACTGACCACCAGGGGATGGCGCAGAACATGGCGGGCAGCAGTGGAGGTGCTGCTGGCCCCGATGGGCCCCAATGAGAGCTGGTGGGATGGTGGAGCAGGGCAGGTGTGAGCAGATCGCCCAGCAGAGGGCATCACCCTGCTCCCAGGCACTGAGGAAGAAAGGGCAAATAGCAATATTAAAATATTTCTTCTAATTATTTTCCTTTCAATGTGCATGAATTCGTGCATGGGGCCACTAGTAAATTTATAATCCCTTACCACTTTGGCCTTGTGCATTCCTCCTTTGTCAACCCTAACACCCCTCACATTTTCAAATGTGAAAAAGCGAAAGCTCTTGAATAGGCCCAAGCACAGAACCTTGCACAGTTCTGAGCCCTGTGGTCATTTGGAAGCCCAGGGTTAAGAATGCTGTAGCAGGACTTTCCACTGGGGAGGTGAAGAGAAGCAAAGAGCAGTGATTTCTGTTTTCAAAGTGTGGGTCAAGGACCTAAAATATGAGGAAGTCACAGCACAAAGCTATTTATAAAAATATAAACTATATATCATACAAAATAGTGCAATGGAAGCACTTTGAGAGACCTAAGTTGTAACTTTTTGCACATGAGAACAGAAGGCCTCTCATTCACAGACAAGCTCCATTTACGCGAAGTCTTCAGATAAACAACAGCCACAGCTGAGAATATTTAGGAACTTCCCTTCCCCTCCCACAGCTGCTGGGGGATTTCTCTTCCATCCCCCACACGAGGCCTCCACCTCCACCACAGCCACACACCCCACCTTCGGTTGCTGTTTCCACTTTGTACAGTGATGGCCACGGTTGGTGAATACAGTGGTGTCCTGAAAGGTGAGAAGGCAAAAGGAAGGAGGAGGTCAGAGGAAACTGTCCCTTTCATCCTGGTCTGTACTCCTCCCCAGAGTCCTAGGGCGGGTTCAAAGGGGAGAGGACTGCAGGAGCTGAGGGCACACTGACTGTGCCCTGAATGCATTATAGATACTCCTTTATTCCTTAAGGCAGCCAGGTGGGGCCCAAGGCTCCAAAGCCTTTTGCCTCTGCAGTTTCATCTGGTGTGCCTTAGGGTGCTGCTGGGGCAGAGGAGAATTTCATGATGCACCATGAGGTCTGTCTCCACAGGTCTGAGGGACGTCCACCTGGAGATGCTGAGTGGGCAGCTGCAGGGGGCCCAGGTCCTTCCTGAGGAAGGGCGTTGTGTTCCAGGTAACAGAGGAGCCTGGCTAAAGCCAGCAGGGGGCTGGGGCATGAGGTGGGGCTGGTGGTTCCCCAGCTGGGGAGGGAGCCCTGAATCTGCTCCTCCACTGGGCATCTCATCTCTGGGCTGACTTACTGCCTTTTTAATAATGTCCAAGCTAATTGATCAAAGCAAATTAAAGGTTTGTAATTTTGAAGATTTAATATGAAAAAGTTCAATTACAATCATAATCCACTGACATTATTATAAGAAAGTTAACTTATGTCAATCAAAGAAAAAGAAGAGCTACTGGGTTTTTAAACTACAATTTCAACTGTTTAAAATTTTTTAAATTATAATAATGTTTTTTAATTTATTACCTCTGTCTTTACAGTTTCTCACCTGAAGGTTATTTTCAGAAGTTTGAAGAGGTCTTATTCAAACATCTTAATTGGTAAATGTGTATAGTTGTTACAACAAACCATATAGAAAAGAACTTATGCTCATGAAATCAGGCTCAAGTTCCTCTTAACTTTAAAAATACCTTATTGCCCTAGTCGCTTTGGCTCAGTGAATAGAGTATTGGCCAGGTTCTATTCCAGGCAAGGGCATGTACCTTGGTTGCAGGCTCCTCCCTGGCCTGGGCCCTGGTTGGGGCTCCTGCAGGAGGCAACCAATCTGTGTTTCTCTCTGTCTTTCCCTTCCTCCTCCACTCACCCTAAAAATCAATGAAAAAATATCCTTGGGTGAGGATTAAAAAAAAAAAAAGCATACAAATAAATATCTTATTTAAAGCTTTATTCAAACTTAGTATTTAATTATTTTCCTCTAATACTTTGCATTTTATTGTTATAATTTAAGAAAATTGAGCACATTTTTTCAACAATTCACAATATGTATACCCTAATTTATTCCAATTTATCTCAGGATTCTCTAAAACATTGTATTTTACAAATATGAAAAAGATTGAAAAGCAATATCCTATGTTATATTTATTAATGTAGTGTCCCATTTGAGGTTCCATAGGCCAATGCACTGTCCAGGCAATCTGCCATTCATTCCATAAGTAAATAAGTCCTGATTTCCAAACTACAGATTACAAACCCATTACTGTCCCTACCTGTAGGCGGAGAAAGCCTCTTCAGGTAAACTGGCACTAGTCACAACTCATTTTAAAGTGCATTTTGTTTCCTGGGAACAGCTTCAAGAGAGCTGTTTCGTAATGTACTTTACCATGACTTCTTGAGTAACTCATTCTGCTGTGCACTCTGGCTCAGGTGTCTTCTAGTTGGCCAGTTTAAACCTCATTTTGCTAGCTCTCTTAAAAGAACAGGATCGCTTTTGTAAGCCCATGTCAACAGTACCGATCAAGAAAAATGCAAGCAGTCTGCAAATTTTTTCTTTCTTTTTAGTTCTCTCTTTTTCAGCCTCTCTGAGCCATGAGATCCAATCTTAGAGTTTTAAAATGTTTTTGAGTAACACCTCTTAATTCATCCTGCTAGATGAAATCTGCTATTGCATAAGTCCTCAACAGTCAGCGAGAAGAGAATCCTGCTGGGGCAACCGTCTCACCAGCCCCCTAAAATGCAGCTCTCTTAGGAAGACCTCTATGTAGGAAGTCAGGCTAATACTTAGTTCCCAGAAGATTAGGTGTGGTTTAGTGATCTCATTCAGTGGGTGGGGGCAGGAATGGTCCCATGGTTCTATTTTTAAAATGCTTCTAATAAGATCATCCTTTGTTGCTCAAATACAAACAAGCGATGGTGGAGAGACTTGTCTCACGTTACCATTAGAGGTATTGACCTGGCCAACCTGGTTTACAGAGAAAAAGGCGTTCAAACTTCACTTTCAGTCAAGACTGGGATCATCTGCTCTTGAGACAGGGCCATATTCCACGGAGTCCCGGCCCAGACCAGCGGGGCTTCGCCTCCCTTCCTGGGCATGCTGCCCCTGCCCAGGGAGGGCCCTAGGACTGGTCCAAGCAGTGCTCCCTCTCTCCAGAACCAGAAAGGCAATTCCCTAAGAAAGGCTTCTCCTCCAGGACCTGGGATCCCGCCACTGCCCGGGGCAGGTGCAGGATCCCCCGCAGAGTTCCAGGGGTAGAACACATCCCCGGTCATTCCTGTCACAGCACTCTAGTATTTAAAATAATTGGGGGAGGGGGGTGATTTAGCGCGTAGTAATCCATTCAGTTCTCCCCATTTTGGGATCTCTTTTAACCACTGTGCTATCATCCTCCTCTGTGCCTGGCCATAAGCACTAGGAAATGATGAGTGTTAAGATAAACAACCCAATAAAAAAAATGGGCAATGGACCTAAATAGATACTCTTCGAAAGAAGACTCTGAGAGACATATGAAAACATGCTCAAAGTCACTAATTATCTGATGCAAATCAAAATGACAATGTGGTACCATCTCACACCTGTCAGAATGGCTATCATCAACAAATCAACAAACAAGTGTTCGCGAGGAACCCTCATGCACTGCTGGTGGGAATGCAGACTGGTACAGCCACTGTATGGAGTTTCCTCAAAAAACTAAAAATGGAACTCCCATTTGACCCTGTGATCCCACTTCTAGGAATATATCCCAAGAAACCAGAAACACCAATCAGAAAGGATATATGCACCCCTATGTTCATAGCAGCACAATTCACCATAGCTAAGATTTGGAAACAGCCTAAGGGCCTATCAGTAGTGGATTAGAAAACTGTGATATATCTACACAATGGAATACTACACTGCGGTAAAAAAGAAGTTCTTACATTTGCAACAGCATGGATGAAACTGGAGAGCATTATGCTAAGTGAAATAAGCCATTCAGAGAAAGATAAATATCACATGATCTCACTTATTTGTGGATTATAATGAACAACATAAACTGATGAACAAAAACAGATCCAGAGACAGAGAAGCATCGATCAGACCGTCCCACCTCAGAGGGAAGGTAGGGGAGGGTGGGGTTAAGGGGGAGAGATCAACCAAAGGACTTACATGCAAGCATATAGGCCTAAACAATGGACACAGACAACAGGGGGGTGAGGGCATGAGTGGGGGGTATGGGGGTAATGTGGGGATAAGGACACATATGTAATACCTTAATCAATAAAGTTTTTTAAAAAAGATTCTTGCTTCTCACTTCCGATAGCCCAGGTCCGTCAGCAAGTCTCATGTGACTTCCTGGGGTCAGAATAACAATTCACTTTCGGATAAACCCTAGCGCTCTAGAGCCAGTTTGAGGCAGTTTTGAGGGAGCTGGGGTTCAGGAAAGCGCAGGGCATGGCCTCAGAGTGGTGGGGGTTGAATCTGGGCCCTATAGGCACGCCCAGTCCAGGTGGTTCAGGTGGAGGGGATGCCTGCCTAATATTTTCTCTCCTCCTTGGGCTGTCTCGCCAGATGTCTGTCATAGTAGGCGCTTGATACTAAGGCAGGATGGGGCGGGGGGGCTGCGACTCAGTAAGTATTGGGAATGTCCCGCCAAGTGGATTTCGTGGAGAGAGGCGCTAATTCCCTAGAACTTTCTTCCGGCTCCACCTGGAGTAAAAGCTTTCCACTCGAGAAGGGCGAGCTCTGTGAAGGATCTTTGATCTTCTTTCCAATAGGACAGAGAATGCCGGACTCACAGCTGGGGAGAGGAGGAGGAGACCGGTTGACACACTTCGCAATGGGGCGGTAGAATAAAATAACCAGGTCCAATAAGGAACAACACCAGGTCTTTCTGGCGGAGTACACTAGCCCCCTCCAGGTGCGTGTCCTCCAGGTTCCCGCCCAGCCTTTCACACCCTTTCACCCCGAGTGTGTGGGTGTGGCCCACGGAGAGTGGCTGTGTGTGTGTGTGTGTGGACCTGAGCACGAATCTGGACGAGGTTAGAGAAGGCCAGACGCTGCTGCGCCTCCTGCAGCGTGGCGGGGACAGCTGGCGGCTCTCCTGCCCCCCGGGCGTGGTGGCACGGGACAGGGACAGAGCCTGGGCCTAGGACACTGGAGTGACCCCGAGGGCTCAAGCGCGTAAGGAAATACGATCTTCTTCCAGGGACCAAGGGGTGCGGAGACCCTGGCGCTTTATAACTCCGCCATTGGGGCGCCCTCTACATCAGGTCCCAGGGAGAATTCAGGTGTCTCAGGCCCTCGACTGCGGTCCGGGGTCCCTAGGTGGCCTGTAGATCCCGACGCCAGCGCTCCGGGCGCGACCCACTCCAAGCAACGCTCGCTCCTCCCACGTCGCGACTTCAGCTCCGCCCGGGTCCCCGAGGGCAAAAAAAAGGGGGGGGGAGGGCGGAATTTCCCAGCGCGGGGGCTCTGGCTTCCCCACAATTCTTTCTGTTTACGGAGAGAAAGGGGAAATGGAAAGGGCGGGGAGGCGGTGGCTAGCACACGCTGCGCCGCCACCCGGCCGGGTCAGACGCCGTGAGTCCAGGCCATCGAGGACGGCCTGGGCTGGTTTGTCCGCTCCGGTCTTGACGCACCTCACTCCGGAGCCGGTCGCCCAGGCTCCAGCCTCTGCCACCGCCGGACCGCGGGGCCCCAGCGCATCCGGCTCGGGAGCGCCGGTCACCCGCTGCGCACCGAGCCGTCGGGGGGCGGTAGCTGGGGGCGAACGGAGGCCGCAGGTAACTCAGTGTTGGGGGCTCGGGAGTGCCTTTCTGGTCTCAGCCCTGCGGGATACCCCAGCGGTTCACATCTTGAAAGGGAAGGTGTCCCCGGCGGGGTTGCAGACTCCCGAGCTCGGGGAGGCGAGGGCGTGCGGGCCGCCCCCCGGCTGCGCTTCCGTCCTCCTGCGGGTCGCGCGGCAGCCGGCACAGCTGGAAAGCACCTTGCGCAAGGGGCTCACGCGGCGCCCGCGGCCCCGCCCCCTTCCTCCTCCTTCCCGGATCCCTAGCGCGCGAGCCCCGCCGGGCTGGGCAGTGCGCGGGGACGCGGACGCCGTGTCGCCGCCTCCCACCGCGGCTTGTGCCTCCCGACCCCGCATTCTTCCCGCCGAGACCCGGTGAGTGCACCTCAGAGGCTCAGGGGCCCAGCTGCCGTCGCCAAAGTGACGGGCGCTTTTGTAATTTACAGACCCTTTAAAAGCTCCTTTAGTCGCGAGGAACGGGAGAAAGGGAGTGGGGGTGGGGGTTGGCGGAGCAGAGAGCAGTTTGAAGAGAAACTTAATTTCATGCTTATAACTCGGTAAAGAAGGGGTATTAGCAGAACACGAATGCCAGGCTTTTGGTCTAAGAATATTAGGAAGGAAAAAGTTAACTTACAAATGTTTCCCGTGGTAATGCGATCCCAGGACCCCGAAATTCTTCTAGTTCTGGGCGGAGAACAATGCTTAGAAGGCAGCACGGCTTGCACAGAGTTCATCCCAAAAGTTGTTAGGGAAGGCCACAGCTGTCTTTAAATGAAGCATTACAATGTCTGTTTCATTTTTGGAAAGACATACATTGATCCAGAATAAAAGGCGACTCCAGATAAGAACAGGGAAAGAAACACAAATACAGCTGCTTTACATGTCTGTGGCCTAAATCTCAGGTATTTGCTAAATAGAATATAATCTGATTCCACCAGGTGCCCCCAACTCTAATGGATTGCGAAAGTTCTGGCAGATGCCCTTCAGGACTCTAAGGAAAATTGGATGGTTGAGGCATCTAGAGATTTTGAAGCAGAGTGGCTGTGCTTCTATATAGCTAAACCGCGTCATTCTGTGGCTTTTCAAAAAAATTTATATATATATATATATATATATATATATATATATATATATATATATATATACCCTGAGTGCCAATGTGCTAGTTTGGCAGAGAAATCTTTTAAATGGGAAGCAACGCAGGTATGATCATGTTTTGTTAGGCAGAAGTGATGCCCATAAACTTAGCTGTTTTCATTCACACTTGCAAGGAAACCCTCAACTATGCAAGTAGCCATGACATTAATGTTTAGAAGTAGGATTTCCTTTTGGCTTTATGGATGATTTCTGAAATAATTTGAAGCAAATAATTTTGACTGTATTTGTTCATCTTTCCATTTCCAAGCGTGGCATAGTCATTTACTTTGTTAAGAAGTAGGGATTTTGTGAGGGTTTTTATTGTAAACTGTGTGGGGAAGGGTCTTGATTGCTAAAGTAGAATACCTTCACAATCTACACTTTTTCTACATGGGTACTGATCATTAGTAACTTGTAAATCATTAGCACATTGTCTGCTTAATTTACTCTGGAAGTGCTGAGGCTCTTTGCAGGTATATTTCATGGGCGGACTGGTCATGGGGCTGCTTGGGGAGCATTGGTTTGCGTGAGAGGAGTCCTGTGTTGCTAAGGAATTATGCCTGGCTCCTAAAACAGTCTCAGTCATACACTCCTCCACCCGCTCTGCCCTCCTACGCTGCTTCCCTCCCCCCTCCCTCCTGTTCTGCTCTGCCTCCACCATAAGTTTAAGGGTATATGTATTTAACCTCTGCCTTAGGTTTTACATATAAATACTTGAGACTTTCTGCAGGCTTTAAAAACCATAACTGTCTTTCCCCTTTGGATCTGCTGACTGGCTAGTCAACTGTATAGACCTTTTCCTCTCTTTCTTGAGTCACATTACTATTGAGAACTTTATTTTCTCTCAAGTCAGCCATTTGATAAGTGAGTCCAGCAGCCTTGGAACTTTCCAGCCAGTGGGGTCCTAAGTCAGGCTATTTTTGTCTTAACTTCTGTTTTTCAGTAAATTCTACAAGTAGAAACTGCAACTAAATGGCTCAATGAAACCCAAGGCCATTGTTCCTCCCTTAACTGTAGCAATTCCTTTCAGAACTCAACAGACTCCAAGAGTGTACAAGATCTCTCTGAGAGGAAGCTTCCTTTGCTTTCTGGATGTAACTGTGGTGATAACAACCATCAAAGTATTTCATAGGTTCTGCCTTTTTTTCTTTGTGTTTTGTTTTAGATACAATCTTTAAACCTTACTGTGAAGAAGCTGGGGACTAGGTAGCCACATCCCATTTGCTGATAAGAAAGGAGGCCTAATGCAATATCTGCAGAGCCAGGTGGCTGACTCAGTCCCTGTGTCTTTTATGCACACAATAGCACTTACAAATAATACAGCTTACTTACTGTGCACCCGACTTTGCACCACGCACCTTGTGCACATGAGCTCCTTTAATCCTCACAGCCATCTTATGAGGTAGGTGCTGTTATGATTCCATTTAACAGATGGGGGAGTTGAGGTACAGAGAGGCTACAGTATTAGCCCAAGATCATGCAGACAATAAAAGAAGCGCCAATATTTGATACCAAGCAGTGTAAGTCTAGAGAACAGTGGTTCTCAACCTGTGGGTCGCGACCCCTTTGAGGGTCAAACGACCCTTTCACAGGGGTTGCCTAAGACCATCGGAAAACACATATATAATTACGTATTGTTTTTGTGATTAATCACTATGCTTTAATTATGTTCAATTTGTAACAATGAAATTGGGGGTCACCACAACATGAGGAACTGTATTAAAGGGTCGCGGCATCAGGAAGGTTGAGAACCACTGAGATAGACTGCAGGATGCTGCTTTCTTTCTTGAGGCATAATTTGTTGGTAGGAGTGAGAATGGCACCAGGTGTTACTGATGGGGACCTTGGTTTAGCAACCTCAGTACTTGAGTTCTGGCTAGGAAAGAATTCAGAACCAAGTCTCAAACTAAGAGAAATTTTACTTAGTAAGTCAGAGGTAGAAGAAGCGAGTGGTAGAATAAATGGGCTCTAGAAATAAGTTACAGAGACAAAAGAAGGGCCCTTGGACCTTGGAAAGAGAGGCAAAGAAAAAATACGCCTGGGTGGGGGGAAGCTGGGTAGGAGAGGGAAAAGGCCCAAGGAAAGCTCACTGCATCCTCCATCTTAAGGGCTTTTAAGGGTGGAAATTTTAGGGGAGGTCCCAGGGGAAGATTCAATACAATAGTCATCAGCTTCCCAGGTGTGGTCCTTTCAGGGTATTGGTCTCCACTGATTGGTCAGCATCAGGACAAGGGATCATTAGTCAATGCAGCTGGTCCTGATGTCAGCCATGGTGTCACTTGTCTGGTTTTGCTGCTTTTTGGGGCCTGGAGCTAAAACACAACTGAGGTCTAGATTGCATTTGATGCTGGTCAGAGCCTCATTGTCCTAGGGCAGTGATGGCGAACCTCTGACACGCGTGTCAGAGGTGACACACGAACTCATTTTTTTGGTTGATTTTTCTTTGTTAAATGGCATTTAAATATATAAAATAAATATCAAAAATATAATTCTTTGTTTTACTATGGTTGCAAATATAAAAAAATTTCTATATGTGACACAGAACCAGAGTTAAGTTAGGGCTTTTCAAAATGCTCACACGCCGAGCTCAAAAGGTTCGCCATCACTGTTCTAGGGGCTCAATGCATAAGGGCTGTTCTCCAGCCCCCTTGTTTCTTTTCCCTCTAAGGGCGTCTAACCTGCAGGACTAGCAACATGCCAGGAGAGGAAAGGTCTGGGAAGGGTCCAAACCACATGACCATCGAAATGGAAGATCAGGGGGTCTAAACCTCATGACCAGTGATATGCCTGGGGAAGCAAGGTTACTCTGGGGACCAAGTCCTTGTTTTCCCAGTTTTGCCCAATGCTAGGCAAATGAGGCTCTCCACTCTGGTGACCTTCTGTATCGTCCTTCCTCTGAACTTGTCTGTCTAACTGCCTACCACAATTCATATATTAGAAAATGAATGCGAAGTAAGTTAATGACAATGCAAAATTGTGTGGTTCTTTTCTTTTTTAAAATTTTTATTAAATTCATTGGGGTGACATTAGTTAATAAAATTATATGGGTTTCAAGTGTGCAATTCTATAATACATCGTCTGTATATTTCGTGGTTCTTTTCTGAAATGAAATTCACTGAGAGGCCAAGTAGCTGGGTGGTGAGTTGCCTGTGGAACATTTCCTGGTGTCTCCTACTGGAGCTCCAGGTTAATGGAAGTCTGTGGCTTTTTTGCACTGAGTGTAGAATGTGTAAAGGCTTGTGCTCTTCAGAGAGAGGCTGTGCTTTCAGGAACACAGTAGTTAAGTAGACATACTGACCTCCAAATTCTCTTAGGTCTCTTAAACATTTTTTATCTTTAATTCTTTGGAATAGAATTAAAATCCTGAGCATTACTGGTTTTCCTTTTTCTCATTTGGGCTCTCAGATCCCCAGGTGTAGCACCTGATTTGTATATAAGAAATGAAATACAGTAGTGGCTAATATAGTCAGTTGGCCTTACTCAGGTCTTGCTTATGATAAATTTGGCTTTCTTGGCCTCTTTGTAAGATCACAACTTCTAGAGGGCTATTAATTTAGATGTTAAATTAACCTTTTTAGAACCTTGTGATGTGTGCTTTGTACTATTCAAAAATTCTGGTCTCTAAGCCAGTCAGTGAAAGATAAATACCACATGATCTTACTCATTTGTGGAATATAAAGAACATTATAAAGTTTATAAACTGATGGACAAAAATAGATAGAGGCAAAGAAGCATCCAACAGACTGTCAAACTAAAGCGGGAAGGCAGGGGAAGGTTGGGGGGTTAAGAGATCAAACCAGTGGACACAAGACACTGAGGGGGGTGAGGGTATGTGTGTGGGGGGGAAGGAATGGTAAAGGAGGTGGGGGAGGGGGAGGTCAATGGGGAAAAAAAGGAGACATATGTACTACTATTTGTAAAACTTTAAACAATAAAGGAAAATTTTAAAAAATTCTGGTCTCTAGAAAGGACAGCTGAAAAAAAGAAAAGAGAGGACAGCTGACTCACAGATTAAAGAATCTTCTTCCCCTTTCTCATACTCATTGCTGACAGAAGGAAAATTTGAGGCTTGTCCCAAGTCTGAATGAACTGTTTAAGTCATTTGCATTAGAATTATCCCTGAAACTTGACCTACTGTCCTCAATTTGCTTAAATTTGAATCCATTTTACATGCTTCTGGCTTCAAGGCCTGAATTTTATTTGGTAAAGTAGTTCTTTTTCTTTAAGGGCACCTGATGCATAAAAGCCACAGAAACCTTGCCAGGAAGATTGCCCCCTTGGGGTAGTAGTGGGGTTGGAAGCTGTAAAAGGCCAGGAGCCTTAATTCCTGGGATTCCTGAGCTGCTCTTATTCCTGTTTATGTTTAGTGAAAGTTTGTTTTCAGTGGCTATGGCTGATGCCACTAACTCAGTAAGTGAGTAAGGAATAAGCTGTTTGGATCTCAGGTTTCCCCTCTGCAAGTGAACAAGTTGGACTAAAGGTTATCTAAGGTCCCTTTCTTCAACTGTCCACTTAAATTCACACACCTATAGACACAGAGCCCTCCTTTTTTAATCAAAGGCGTATAGAAGCTCAATCCTTTTATGTCAGTTTCCCATTGATTTCAAATGCCAATACAAATATGGTAAACACAATATTTGTTTTCTTTTGCAGACTCTGGAAAGCACAACAGTAATGGAGTACATGAGCACTGGAAGTGACAATAAAGAAGAAATTGATTTATTAATTAAACATTTGAATGTCTCTGATGTAATAGACATTATGGAAAATCTTTACACAAGTGAAGAGCCAGCGGTTTACAAACCCAGTCTAATGACCATGTGTCAAGACAGCAATCAAAATGAGGAGCGTTCAGAGTCCCTGCTGCTAAGTGGCCAAGATGTGCCTTGGTTGTCATCAGTCAGATATGGAACTGTGGAGGATTTGCTTGCTTTTGCAAACCATATATCCAATACTGCAAAGCGTTTTTATGGACACCGACGACAAGAATCTGGAATTTTATTAAATATGGTATGTTTTTTTCCTGATCAATCGAGTGCTGCAGCTTCATTTAATGCAGAGTGGCATTTGAATTTGGGTTAGACTGGCTGTCAGGTATGATTTTTTAAAAATGTAATATCTGTAAGATTCTTCATGTTGAAGGTGCAAAAAGAGTCTTTATTAAAAGTTCCACTTAAACAATTTTTAGTAGTAGTTCTACAAAAAGGGAATGATGAAGAGTGTCTTTTAATTTAATAATTCATTAAAAAGCTCATTCATCATTTAGGCAGAAGAGAAAGGTTTAATGAGAATCCTTCTTCTGAGAGGGGAATAAAAACTTTGTCTTTAATTAATATTTGGTCCCTATGGACCAAATGCTTTTCATTCAAGTGAAGCTGAATTTTTTGGTCTTGTCATATATGGAATTTTCACAATATCAGTACTGGCTAGATTTAGTTTTTGCAGAAATGTATTCTGTAGGCAGTAAATAGCTATCTACAGATTCACTCTCTTTAATTGGTAAAGTATGGATGACAAATGATGTATTTGCTTGTCATTTCAAGTATGCAAACAATCCAGAATATTGTGACAACACTTTGTTGCTACAAGAATAGATCAGGTGATGTGTTTAGGTGTGCCTGGGATTCTCTCAGTCTCTTAATATGTCAAAGGTGAATGTAGGTGCTGGCTAAGGTGATCTAATTTTTTAAAAAGAATAACTTACAAAAGAGTAGAGGGTATCTTGGAAAACATGCTTATTGATGAAAGTGACTCCCTTGCCTTTGGTGCATCTAAATGGCAAAATGGCTAATGTGGGGAGAAGGTCAGTGATGAATAGTAGAGTCTGGACAAATTACTTAATTATTTTGTTTTTATTGCATACCACATTCATTCAATTTAAAACAACACAGTGACTTTGGTCAGCTATATAGTGAATTGTTTTGTTAGAAGCCAGTTGTGTTCATCTGTAGCTCAATTTGGAGGAAGATTACATTTTGCATAGTTGTGTGACTTACTTTGGTCTGGTATATCAAATTGTATTTAATAGTTGACAAAGTACTTTACCTTGAGAATATTACTTTTGCTAATCATTGAACTAGAAGCAATACCTGATTTTCTTAGCTTAAATATAGCTGGTGAACTCTGGTTCAAAATTATGTATAAGTCTATAATGACAAATGTAATTGTTTATGCATTTCTCTTTTTTATTACATATTTGTGTGTCAAAATAGACATTTAAAGGAAAACATGCAGAATAAACAAATTACTCTTGCTTGTAAATCTGTAGAGTCTTAGGTACATTTCCCCTGATGCATCAGACTGGTGAGAGACAGGACATAGACCTTCACTGGGAATGTACAGAAGGGAATGCAGGAAAATTATGAGGAGTAGAAATAGCTTCCTAAAGGTTTTGGAGTTTAAACAAAAGCTAATGCAGAAAAGGAGAAATTAAGACATTTAAAGGAAGTGAAAATTTTAGATCAACTAAGGGTAAGAGTAAAATGTCATTTCCTGCCATCGAGCCTATACTCTATAAATGAACAAATCTATATTTAGAGAAAATTTAAGAATAGGACATATCTGAAGACAGGGATCTTGAAAACTTTAAAAAGATTCTTTGTTTTAAAAATGATCAAGACTATAAAATATAAAGCAAGAAGACTTAAAAATAAAACAGGATAACAGGAAAAACTTAAAACCTACAAGAATTGACTGTGCTTCAGTGGTCGATGGCTTTGGGGCTGTGGTTGACATTCCTGTCACTGACCTTAAGGATCAGATAAATCCCTGTGTCTGCTATATAGCCTATTAAAGCTCTATGTTTCATGAATAATGGCATAGAAATCATGACTTTCCATTCCTGATCATAGCTAGTTTGAGTGAGATGCTATAGGAAGCAAGGTTTGCTTCTAGCACCTCTTCATCTGCACATCATGGTCTCCTTGGAACCATCCTGTGGTCAAGACCTTTCTCTTCCCACGGTCTTCACCCTAATACTCTGTCAAAACTTTTTTCTTTTGGGCTTCATTTGCTGGTCTGTCTCTCTACTTTACAAAACGACAGCTAATTATCTACCAAACAGATTGGTTCCATGGTAAGATCTATTTATAAATATATCTCCCTATGGACCAAATGCTTTCATTCAAGTGAATGCTAGACATAGCTGGAATATCCACAGTGTATTAGGTGCTTTTCTAGATGCTAGAGATACAGTAATGAACTGTGCTTTTTGGTAGCTTACTGCCTGGTGATTGTAAGAGGCAAGTAAACAGGCAATTATAATGCAGTGTAGTACTTCCCAATACAACTACATCATGATTGCTGTGGAGATGGTCAGGCAGAGTACCTCACACAACCATGAGATGGGGTAGGTCGGCCAGGAGATTGCCAGAGAGGCTTCCAAGGAGACTTGATGCCCAAGTTATTGAGTTAGAGTCAGCCAGATGAAGGGGATGGGGAGCTGAGAGTGTTCCAGATGAAGAGAATAGCATGTGCAAAGGGCCGGAGACATAGAAACATGGTGTCTTCCAGGCACCCAACCACCACAATGCCTGTAGAGTTAATCAGTTAATGAGGGTGGAGGAACAGGAATTACAAAAATATCCTGAAGCACAGGCATGTTAAATGGTGCTTTGCAGGTGTGTGTTCTTTTCCTAAAAATATTTCATAAAGATTACACCAACTTCCAGCAGGACCAGGGAAGAAACTTTGGGAGACTGTCATAGGGGTTGCTTTGTGTAAGAGTGCCACAAGTTATTTATAAACTTTATAATCTACACCAACTCATAATAACCTGATCTGGGATGAAGAACCTAAAATGGTTTTCAAATACTTGACTCTGGTGATGGGGTGCTGAAGGGCCCAGCTGTGGGTGTGAGATTCTGCATGCTGTTCCTCAGGGTTAGTCATGGGGTCCCAGCTTCTCAGGGATGGAAAACCTTAATGTTACTGAGTTAAATCCTCCTCTGTCTGAAGCTTGGATCACCCCCCCCCATTCATCATCTCCAATAATTGCTGGAGGATTTTGGTCTATGCTTGGTAACCTCCTCTGATGAAGAGTTCATCATGTAGTGGGGGATTTAATTTCATGTTTGCCCAATTCTTATTGTAAGACAGTCCTTTCTTCAATAAAACTAAAATCCATCTCTGAGTCTTCTTAGTCCTATTTCTATTCTTTGGCCATCAAAAGATACATGTGATGAGGAGTGGTGAAGACTGCAGGCCCATTAATTAAAGTTCTTGCATATGTATCTCAGCTCTGAAATGGATTAGTTATATGACCTTGGACTAGTTATCACACCCCTCTATGCCTCAGTTTACCCATTTGTAAAATGGGTAACATGACAGCACTTACTCTATGATTGTTGGTAGAACAAATGATGAAAGCACGGGACCTGTTTACACATAGTGAGTGTTGAAAGAACACAAGCCATTTCTATATTTGTTGTATATAATTGTTACTTTCCTTCCTTGTGACTATCCTGTCAATATTTTAAAAATTGCATGTTCCCCACATCTCTCCTCTTTCACAAACACGTCTCATTGTATCTTCTACTTCTCATGTATTTTAGTGTCAGCTTCCATCATCATCTGGGTATCGCCCTCTGAAGTCAAGCCTGTGCTGTGCCTGTCTTGTAGCCCAGAACACGTACATGGCGGGCCTTTTGTGGTGTGGCCAGCCAGTTGTGCCTCTGTTCTAGAGACTATACTCCGTTAATATAGCCCAAGGTCGCATCCATTTCATAGCAGCCACATCACACAGGTCCCTCAGGGAATTTCTTTTCACTGAAGTACCTAAGGATTTTTCTGAAGTGTGTTTCCTGGCCCAATGCTATCTGGTATTTGTGACAGTGATCTGGAGCTTATAATGTCTGCACTTGAAGAAGGCTTTGATCATTTGAAGAATTGGCAGAGATAAGCAGCACAAAGATCCACAAGATTATTTGGTAGAGCCCCCTGGAAAGAAGGCGGGAAAAACATCTTAAATCCAAATAGGAAAGGTCTAGGGCCTGGGGAAAAACCAGGGACTGTGCAGAACTGCAAAGGGGTCAGCACTTGCCTATCACCCTGTACATCAAAGGTGGCCATGGAGGACTTGAGAGACATTCAGAGGGGATCCCTGAATGTGGGAGGTTGTGACATGGAGGTGAAGATACTTGCAGGATTTGATCCAAAGAGGGTAAGGTGTGCTCAGTGACATGTAAACATAGGATTTTAATAACTGGGTTTTGATCATGGCTCAGCTTTAATTATAGCTTCCTGGAAGATAAAAGGCTCTTATCCAAAGACTAGGAGTGGTGGCTTTGGGGACAGACAGCCCCAAGTTTGAATCCTGACTCTGTCACTAACTAGTGAGTTACTTAACCTCTGAAGCCAGTTTTCTCATCTGTAAAATGGAGATAAAAATAGTACTTACTGTGTAGGACTGTTGTGAGACTTTGATGAGATAATGTTAAAGTACTGAGCACAGTGCCTGGCGGATAATTAGCACTCAATATATGGCTGCTATTATTATTTTTTGTCCTCTTAGAATAAGAGACACTGAGTCAAAACCTATTAAAACAAATTTTGGTTAAACAAAAGTAAAGCTTTCATGAACGTGAATTAAACACTGAAGTGGATGACAGAGAGGCTTCAGTGAAATTGGATCTGTAAATATTTAATGGCAAGAAAGGCAATATTCAAGTAGGATTGAATGCAGTGAGCATAGTTCTGTCTAAATGTGGAAGGGGACTAGATTCGTCACGTTCTTTGCTGTAAAACGAGGCCCCCAGTAACTTGAGGTGACACACTTCTTGAAAGGAGGTCATATTTCAAACAAGCTGAGCCTGTGGTCTGTCCTTAGTCATTTTCCCTCTAGAGCTCTGCACAGAATTCTGCACAGAGGACATGCTCAGTAAATATTTAATTTTTCAATTTACTGACTTCACATGTCTAAGTATAGAGTTCTGTTTCATTCCCTGACTAATTGTGACCACATCTGCTTGTGGAGTGGAGACTGAGTGAATAACCCTGACGGTTACTAGAACCATTCCCGGAGCAGAGGCCTGTGAGGAGCCCCCTGCACCTGCACATGAATCAAGTGTCCATTCTTTCCTCCTGTGGACTGCAGTTCCCCCTTTGCTTCGTCTGTATGTGAAAGAGCTTGATGTTGCTTTGATGGTTTCATAATTCCCAGATTCATAATCTGAAGTCCTATTATTACTAATTATACTTGCAAGAAAAACTTATATTTTTGAGACACTTTATCTCTTGAAAGAACACTTTAACCATGTTTTAAGCCTGTACTCCAGGTCATAGCTCCTGTGGACTGCCTTATTAATTTGTTTTAATTTTAATTGTTTCTCTTTTTAATTGTTTACTCTTTCAAAATCAAGGTAGACTTTATATGCAGTAAAACACACAGATCTTAAATTTGCAGTTTGATGAGTTTTGATAAATGCACACACTTGTAACCCACACCACTGTCAGACTATATCCCTTAATTTTTGAGTGGACTGGTTTCAAAATCTCTTGTCATGAACTCTTGGAGGTTAGGGATCATCTATCTCTTGCACAGCATCCTCCTCAGCACCAAACACTGTGCCTGGCACATACTGTGCACTCAGTAAATATTAAATGAGTAAGTAGATGAGAAATAATTCCGCCCTTACTTTATTTAGGTAGCACTGTCAACTCATAGCTCTGGCATAACACATTGTTTTCTAGAATCCTCCATGATCATCATTTTATTTCCACACTCTCTCTATATGCATCATGTCTGAGTAATAGCTATGTGGACTAACAGGTTAGTACATTTTAATTGGGAGCAAGTCAACTTGTTGGCAGAGTTTATATTTATGCAATCTTTATTTTCAGCCTCTTGGACACAGTAGTCATGCTCCCTTAGATAAGTCATTTTTAAAGTTCTATTTGGCAATTAATGACTCCCGAGTAGATGGAAATCTGATCAGGTCTGACCGGGGATGGATGTGTTTCTGTTACATGCTTTCTCTGTCTTGGCTGAAACTCTAAATATAGTCTGTACACTGTTATGATTACACACAGTGACAATGTGTGTAGGAATGCAATCTAAAGTAACCAGTTTTTAAAGGGTTGGTCTTAGAAAAGGATTTTGCTGGAATTCTCACCTTACCACATTTTTATTTATTGTAGGTAATCACTCCCCAAAATGGACGCTATCAAATAGACTCTGATGTTCTCCTCATCCCCTGGAAGCTGACTTACAGGAATATTGGCTCTGATTTCATTCCTCGGGGGGCCTTTGGAAAAGTGTACTTAGCACAAGATATAAAAACTAAAAAAAGAATGGCATGTAAACTGGTATGTTCTTTATAACCAGACGGAGTGAACTGCACTGCATTACTCAAAACTTGTTAGCCTTTGAATGGATCTTGTCTAAGGTTGCTCTGTCCAAAAGTATCTGTGTTTTATGCATTTGCTTGCTCCTGGGGCCGTTCAGCCCCTAAATCTGCCACGTATATAGTTGATTTTAATCTAGTTTGCCATGATAAAAAAAGAAAGTGCTGGGTAGTTTAGCACCAGTTTGGATAACAAACGTCATCTCTCTTGTGGTGGGCTGGGGTAGAGGGGTGCTCTCCTGCAGGAGCAGATCCTTGTGCTGCTCCTTTAATCCACCTCAGGGGAGTGGACCAGGCAGGGAAGCAGAAGCTGGGAAAGCTGCAAAGTTCCCAGGACTGCAGATTAAAGGGCTGAACTTAAATAGACTAATTCTTGAAAAGACCCCATCTCTTCTTATTAACCAGTTATCGGTGAGGTGCCCCCGCTTTGGAAGAGTGTTTGGCAGTATCTACCTCAGCTGAACACGCACAAGCCCAATGGCCCAGCAGTTCCACCGCATAGGCATGTGCACGTGGCCACCGAAAACTATGTGCTAGAATGTTCATGGTAGCACTATTTGTAATAGTCCCAAACTGAAAAGTTTCCAGTTGCTCAAATGTGGTATATTGACACAATGGAATGCTGAATAGCCAAAAAAATAAATGATTTACAATGATAATAATGTAGATGAATCTCATAATCATTATGTTGAACTAAACCAGCCAGACACAAAATATGATCTACAGTATGAGTTTCTACTTATACTAGAATAAAGGCCAAAAATAGGCTCACCAAATCCATGCTGTTGGAAATGGGGTTAGTGGTCTCCCTTAAGGAGCAGTAACTGGAGGGGTTTAAAGGGGTCTCTGGGTGCTGGTAGAATTCTGTTTCTTCATCTAGATGTTGGTTATATGGGTGTGTTCAGCTAATAATGCATTGAGTTTGATACTTAACTACTTTTACACTTTTATATATGTCTGTTCTATTTTAAAACATTTTTAAGTGCAATAAAATAAACTCACTTGATTTAACAAAAATAAAATAATTGCTGAATATCATCTCAATCTCTGTTATCATAATTAAAAGATTGACAATATGTTGGCTTTATTTGTTCCTTCATAAAGATTTGGTAGAATATCTGGTATTAGAAGGAAAAAACCCAGGTGTCATAATAAGCCACTTGAAGCTTGCAATTAGAGAGGACATATTTGTATTCTTTTAAAAACATCTGGTGACATAAAGATCTTAGAACCAAAATGTCCTGTGTTTCAGTTTCATCATAAAAGGCATGGGAAAATAGCTTTGTGGGTGTGCTTTCCTTGTTAATACTTACATTTAATTTTTAAGCTATATATATTTTCTTAAAAAATAAAAACATTTAAGATAATTAACAACTCCAAACAGATTCAGAAGAGGGTGGGCTTAATAAATGAGATCCCTTTTCTTGAGGGAACTACTGTTAATGGGTTCTTATGTACCCTTCCAGAAAGTCTCTATGGACATATGCTTGTATAGTTAAATTATTTTTAATTTTATTTTTTGCAAATGGAGACATGATATACATACTTCTGTGTCTTGCATTTTTCATCTAACACTGTACTTTGGAGACATTTCATATCTGAACTGAAAGATTTGTTTCTTCCTTTATTAATGACTTGATTTTCTATAGAATGGATGCTCAATCTTATTTTAAATGCATTGTTAGAGCATGAGCTGTGGAACCAAAGACATATTATTTTATGACATGAACTATTGAAAATATGACCTAAAATCTAAGTGCTATGGAAATTACATATGTAATAGATAAGAAATTATCTCTTTTGATGCAGTCATAAATGTTTCTTTGATTGGATTTCTATATTCTAAATGAAAATAATTATTTATACATTCTTGTGTTTTTTATTTTCTTATTTTGAATTGCTTACCTAAAGCTGGTATAATGTAAAGGCAGATCTCAAGTCAACCTTATTTTAACTAAGCAGTACAATTTTATGCAGATCAGGGTATCCTTGAGGGCATTGATTTGTCTTCTGATCTGTGGGTTGACAGTCATCTCTTGGCATCTGAGGGGGATTGGTTCCAGGAAACCCCAAAGATACCAAAATCCTCAGATGCTCACATCCCTTAGTTGGACCTTGGTATCAGTGGGTAAAGAACCTGCTGGTACAGAGAGCTGACTTTATATATATTTTTCATTGTCCTGGAGTTGTTTAGAATCTTACTGGTATTTTTGTGTTTTAGATCCCAGTAGATCAATTTAAGCCATCTGATGTGGAAATCCAGGCTTGCTTCCGACATGAGAACATTGCTGAGTTATATGGCGCAGTCCTATGGGGTGAAACTGTCCATCTCTTCATGGAAGCAGGCGAGGGAGGGTCTGTTCTGGAGAAACTGGAGAGCTGTGGACCAATGAGAGAATTTGAAATTATTTGGGTGACAAAGCATGTTCTCAAGGGACTTGATTTTCTACACTCAAAGAAAGTGATTCATCATGATATCAAACGTGAGTTATCCTTGGATATGTACCTTTTCGGCTTAATGAGACTAGTTAGGAGGCAAATGGGCTCCTTCCTTCAATCTAAGGAGTGTTAGTGGCAGGGCAGGGCAGGGCGCACAGCTCCCTTGGAGCACCTTGCCCTTTCCCTCACTGTGCTTCTGAACACCTTTGAGAATCAAGAGGGGTCACTTTGAGAACTAAGAGGGGGAACTTTCAATGTCATAAGGAAGGGTAATTATCCAATTGTAGGCAGCTGTGGGCAAACTATGGCCCGCGGGCCAGATCCGGCCCGTTTGAAATGAATAAAACTAAAAAAAAAAAAAGACCGTACCCTTTTATGTAATGATGTTTACGTTGAATTTATATTAGTTCACACAAACACTCCATTCATACTTTTGTTCCGGCCTCCAGTCCAGTTTAAGAACCCATTGTGGCCCTCGAGTCAAAAAGTTTGCCCACCCCTGGACTAGAGCCACACCACACTTCTATTAAGTACTGCCTCTGGCTTTTAAAATACTAATTTACTTAAAAACACACACCTGCAGCCACATCTTATTGAGAAACAAATAGCTTTTAAATTTTAAACATCCATTTGTCAATAGTTCTTTCAATAAGACGTCATTGACTGCTTTCTAGGAGTAACGTGAGGAGGAAATTGAAAGAGAGACCCACTATGGATCCTTAATACCTAATGATAAATAGGAGTAGCAGGACTTTTACTGAAAAAAAAAATGGGTCTTTTACTTATTTATTTTTTTTTTTAGAAAGTGGCTTAATAATAGTATGTCTATATCATAGAATTTGGAACGCAAGCTCTTGAGCATTAATGTATTTTTTTAGCTTTATTGAGATATAATTCACAAATAGCATTGTGTAAGTTTCATGTAATGATTTGATATATGTATATATTATAAAATGATTACCACAATTAGGCTAGTTATCACATTCATCACCTCACATAGTTATAATTAATTTTTGGTGGATGAGAACTTTTAAAATCTACCCTTTTAGCAACTTTCCAATATACAATATGGTATTAACTATAGTTATGATGTATGTTACATCCCCAGGACTTATTCATCTTATAACTGAAGTTTTATCCTTTGGCCACATTCACTCATTTCCCCCACCCACTGGCTCTGGTAATCACCAGTCTGTTCTGTTTCTATGAGTTTGGTTTTTTAGACTCCACATATAAGTGAGATCACATAATATTTGTCTTTTTCCGTCTGACTGTTTTACTTAGCATAATGCTCCAAAGTCCATCCAGATTGTCACAAATGGCAAGATTTCCTTCTTTTTTTATGTCTGAATACACTGTATATCACATTTTTCTTTTTTTTAATATATATTTTTATTGCTGACAGTATTACAGATGCCTACCACCTCCCCCCCTACCCCCCCTCAGGTCTTCAGTACCCTATTGTCCATGTCCATGGGCTATGCATATAAGTATATAAGTTCTTTGGTTTCTCTCTCCTTGTCCCTTGACCCCCCACATCTAGGTATGCCAGCCTGTTCCATGCATCCATACTTTCAGTCTTATTTTGTTTCTATGTCTATGTTTTGTTTCTATGTTGTATCTTTAACATTATTAGTGGCTGCAATAATTTACGTCCATATTGGCTGAATTCTTGACAGACCTGAAGTGATTTTTACCTAGACTCTCAGCCTCCTCTTTTGAATATATTACACCCATTTCAGTAGGGAAAGCATTTCAATCTATTCTAATTTGGGACTTGTTTTAGATAATGCTTTCATTTTATTTACTAAAAATTTTCCTCTCTTTATAGCTAGCAACATTGTTTTCATGTCCACAAAAGCCGTTTTGGTAGATTTTGGCCTAAGTGTTCAAATGACTGAAGACATCTACTTTCCTAAGGACCTCCGTGGAACAGAGGTATAATTATATTCCTACAAGAATGATTGATATCTTATTAAGAGTAAAAATAAAAAATGCTTATCATTACTGTAGAAAGGACAAAGAAGGGGAAAAAAGCCACTGCATTAAATTTTTATCATCATTGGAACATATTTAATGAGTACTTTATCTGTGCCAAGTACTCATTTTAGCACTTTAAATGAATTATATTTTTTAACCCTCACAACAATTCTATTATTGGTAAACACTATTATTACAGGCAAATATTATGATTCCCATCTATATATATATATATAAAGAGGTAATATGCTAATTGGTCCTAATGGTGTCCCAGTCATGACCATTCAACAGGCTGCATGCACACAGGAGCTGATGGGCAGGGACAGGGGCAGGGACTTGTGCCACTGGGACATGAGGCTGCCGCTGTGTGTGTGTGTGGGAGGGGGGGGGGACGGCACATGCAGGCCTGCCATGCTGCCTGGCCCGGAGGGGCGGGTGTCAGGATGGGGGCCCGGAGGGAAGAGAAGATAGGCAGTTAGGGGGATCAGGCCAGGAGGGGAGTGAAGATAGGCAGTTAGGGCCATTAGGCAGGCAGGGGAGCAGTTAGGGGCATCAGGCATGCAGGAGAGCAGTTAGGGGCATCAGGCACGCAGGCAGGTGAGCGCTTAGGAGTCAGTGGTTCTGGATTGCAAGCAGGATCCCAGATTGGAGAGGGTGCAGGTCAGGCTGAGGGACCACCCCCCCTTCCAGTGCCCAAAATTTGTGTACCGGGACTCTAGTTTTATAATAAGGAAACAAGATTGAAGAGCTTAAAACCAAGTGTTCAAAGCTTCTCAGCTACATAATGATCTGGAACTTGAATCCAGTTTTTTTCTGAGTCTAAAATCTAAGATCTAACCACTGTATACCTTTTTAATATAACAAATATATATTCTTAGTTTAACTGATGATTTGGTTCATTTACAGCCATCATTTTTAGGGTCATTGATAACATTTATTAAGAACTGACAACATTTTAGGCCTAACTTTAATCCTAGGGATTCTATAATAAACATAATTTATTATACCATAATTAAATCTTATTGAAGATATGAACTAGTAATAATACTTATATTTGTGAAGAAAAATAAAGCAAAACCAAAAAAACCTTTCTTGAATCTAAATGAGATTCAGAGAAATGTATTCATGGGTTTCAAATAATATATTAATTTAACATTCACATTGTTAAACTGAATAGTTGATTCATGTAATGAGTGTCTTCTGAGCATCTGCTGTATGGCAGACTGTTGCAGGTACCAGGGATGAAACATGGGACAAGGTCAATAAGGATCATGCCTTGGTGGTACTTTTTGGTAAAAGAAGCTATGTTAAATTGACCTGAATTATTAACAGATCAAAGAGTTAGTTCACTGTTGCTTATGATGGACAATGAGGGATAAAACTGGGAAGGTAAATGGGTATAGTAGTTGCCTTTCTCACCCATGTCCACTATGGTGGGTGCTTAACTATCAGCCACCCGGCCCCATGCCCTTCTCTCTATTGGAAGTGGCCCCAGAAAATGGAGAGAGGGCACTTGGCTGCATCTTTACCTCAAGATTACCAGGTCAGTCTTAGTGTTCAACCAAATAACAGTCTAGCTGGTAGATATATTGATTGCACTGAAGTCAGTTGCAGTGCAATAAATAAATAAATATTTATTTCAAAATGAGATTTTGTAAGCTTTTCTTAACTCTCAGAGCAAAAACTTTCCTGAGCAGCAGAATCCTTGTTTTTGCTGATATTACTGAAGTTAGTTTGGAAAATATTTGAGAGAAAATTCTTGATAGTCATCTTTGAGCAGAATAATATTCAGAAGAGAAAACTGTTTACTTTTAAAAAATGTTTTAGTCCCAGATCTTAAGAGTATTTTACCAAAGCACAAAATCTAAGACTTACTACTTAGAACTGTTTTTTGGGGGGAGAATTTCCAGCACATTTTGCATTAGTCAGAAGTTTAGATATGTGACAGTGCACCATTTTTCCTGGAACCAATTTGAGAAACAAACTATTTATGGTATTAAAGATGGAAAATACCTTTTCTTCCTGGCAGTGCGATCAAATTGAACATTTTGCAATGTCTGGAGGAAGACATGCCCCTTCTGGGATTCTCTAGCAGAAAAAGAATGTGTATTGGAGTATGAGATAATAACATAGTGTTCACTCCTGGGTTAAGTTATTTTCACCAAATGTAAATTGTTTTTTTATGAATTACTAAACGGGCTTTGGTGTTTAGTGTTTATAGTTATAAACTCTCTTCTAATCAACCTGCATTTTAATATCTATATGGTACTTAGGAACAGAAATTTGACAGTGAGCAAGTTTGTGATGTCACCAGTGAAACCTTTCAGTAAGCTTGTTTTTAACCTCATACTAAAGAGCCAATAAGGGGTAGTGAGTCAAAGTCAAGCATGCACATTTGCTTTTGTTAGAACTTGTTCACTTGGCTACTTCATAGCTGCACATGATTTTTGATTCCTGCAATATATGGAATCAGGCACCCCACCTTGGGTGAAGCTCTCCCTTGATCAGCCTGTCCCTTCTACCTGTACATAGTTCCTCAGTGCAGACACTGGTCACCTGTGTTTGATCTCTCTCTCTCTCTCTCTCTCTCTCTCTCTCTCTCTCTCTCAACATTTACATTCAGAACATTATATTGTACCCACATAATACATACAGGGGTGGACAAAAGCAGGTTTATAGTTGTGAGTATGTGAAACAGAGTTTATTCTTATATTATTATTTATTCATTATTATAATACCAGAGGCCTGGTGCACAGAATTCGTGCATGGAGGGAGGGTGGGTTGTCCCTCAGCCCAGCCTGCACCCGCTCCAATCTGGGACCCCTTGAGGGATGTTCGACTGCCCATTTAGGTCCGATCCCGCTTCTGCCTGCCAGCCTGATCACCCCCTAACCATTCCCCTGCCAGCCTGATCGATGCCTAACTGCTCCTCTGCTGGCCTGGTCACCCCCAACTGCCCTTCTCTGCCAGCCTGGTCACCCTTAACTGCCTTTCCCTGCAGGCCTGGTCCCTCCCAGCTGCCCTCCTCTGCTGGCCCAGTCACCCCTAACTGCCCTCCCCTGCAGGCCTGGTCTCCTCCCAACTGCCCTCCTCTGCTGGCCCAGTGACCCCTAACTGCCTTCCCCTGCAGGCCTGGTCCCTCCCAGCTGCCCTCCCCTGCAGGCCATCTTGTGGTGGCCATCTTTGAACACATGGATGCGGCCATCTTGTGTGTTGGAGTGATGGTCAATTTGCATATTACCTCTTTATTATATAGGATTTATTTGTGTTACAACTATAAACTTACTTTTGCCCACCCTTGTATACAGGGTTAATCTGGTATATATTCAATTTATTGTTTTTAATTACACAGTGCAGAGAAAGAATAAATAATAAATGTAAATAGCTAATTAGAATCACATAACATGGTCCTTTAAAAAAAGTTTATTTTCTTCTGATTTGGTATTTGGTCTTCATGTACGTTAATATGTAATCATCATATGTGTGGACACACACACACACCCACACACACACCTCATTCCCTTTGTAATAAATGTGCTGAGAGGTGAGTGCCTTGACCCCTGACATGACATCTAGGTTTCTTTGTGTCAATACCCATGTCTGAGGGCGTGCCACTCAGAGAGCCTTACCCAGGTCCAACCAGGCCTGTTTCATGTCTTGAGTCAGCCAGCCTGCAGAGTCTTTGATCACCTTACCCTGCTGCCCTGACTTTTACAGAACTTGAGGAAGCAGGAGCTCTGAGCCATTGAGCCATGTAGCTCTGAGTGATCTGCCTGAGGGGTCACAGCCAGGTCACCAGATGGACAGGACACTGCTGTCCCCAAATGTATAGTCACATGGAGTCTGCAGAGCCCTATTGCACAGCTGCTGTTGGTTTCACCAATTGTACATATTTTGCCTAATCCTTCTATTGCAGGGAGGAAGTGGGCATCCCCTACTGACAATTAATTCTCCCCACTGCATTTATTGTATAACTTTGTGATTATACTTAGTAAGAAAGTCTTTTACGATCTGTTTTTGCTTCAGGGGAAGTTTGAGAACAAGGAGCTTGGTTGGCCAGTTTGCTGAGAGGGAGGGATGGAGAGACAGATAGATGATAGATAGATAGATAGATAGATAGATAGATAGATAGATGATAGATGAAAAGCAAGCCAGCCCAGAAATGTGTTGTAGAAAGAAGTTGAGCAGGGTTTGGATGAGGAAACTGGTCAATTTCTCCTGTTTTTGTAAGCCAGTTCTTTATTCTGAAACTAGTGGCCCAGTGCATGAAATTTGTGCACATTAAAAGGGAATTCATTAGAGGAAATATTTTAATATTGCTATTTGACCTTTCTCTATAATAGAAGTGTCAGAGATGAAAGAAAATTAGTAAAATGTATGTGAAAATCTCCCTCCTGTTAGAGTCTGGGGAGCACCACAGGACCCAGAGTGAAGTCTTTGCCCACCCATGCGCGCCTTGAAATTGTGCAAGACCCAGACCTGGCTGGCCCCACCCCTGTCAAGCCCCTCAGGGCAGGGGCACAGCCTCAGGTCCCCTGGCCTGACACCAGGGGCAGGGGTGTGCAGCCTCAGGTACCCCATCAAACCCTGCTGGGCAGGGGGCACGGCCTCAGGTTCCCTGGCCCTGGTGCGAGGGTGCGAGGATGTGACGACCATTTGCATATTAGCGCATTATTATATAGGATGTATTCTTGGAACACTTACCCCCTTCTCAATATTTAAATAACAGGCAGCATAAAAATTCCTTAAAGTTAAATATTATTAATTAGGATATGCCTGGACTAGCCACAAATCCAGATCATTGGGCACCAGTGTTTGTTCTTGTTTTCTCTTTTTTAGGTTTAGAAACAAACACTTCTTAGAGAAACTATTTCTAAACCTAGCCCTACTTTCCCAGCAGCAACTCGGGAAACTAAATTGAATTTTCACAGTGTTAACAAGGCCTTGAATATTTGGTCACTGAGCTATGTGGGAGGTAGAAATAATAAGTAGCTCATAGAAATGACTAATTAGGATCATATTTAAAACACTGCATTTTAAAAGTTCTTCTCTTCCAAGTGATCAGTGTTAATACCATGTGGACTTCGCCAACTTTTATTATTTAAATTTTATTACTGCAATTTAGTGACAAACATGAGGTGTAGAAGAATATTTGTAGTGTCCATTTAAATATGAAAGGAACTGGTGTTTTAGCAGAAACATGCATCAGTGCTTTGCAGAACTTTGATGTACCGGGTCCCAGGTGACTGTTACTCTCCTTAGCTCATGGGACACAGCAATGGCACTCTCATGAAGGGATAAAGCGTGCAATAGATATATTACCAGTGGATGAGCCAGCTTCCAGAACTTGATTAGGGAAATGGAAACCCAGACAAGCAAGGGGAGTCAGACTGATGTTTCCTGCTTCTTTTTCAGATTTACATGAGCCCAGAGGTGATCCTGTGCAGGGGCCATTCAACCAAAGCCGACATCTATAGCCTGGGGACCACGCTTATCCACATGCAGACGGGCACCCCGCCCTGGGTGAAGCGCTACCCTCGCTCAGCTTATCCCTCCTACCTGTACATAGTAAGTGGGGGTCAATGAGGGCTGAGCTGGGCCGTTTTCCACCTGTTCAGGAGTGCTGCACTCCTTTCTGAGTGGATGGGAGTGAGCTAGTGACCCAATGAGGAAGCCCCATTCTCACAAAGAAGGCATTGCTATTTTAATGAGAACTTACTAAAATGTACATTGGGCATCAATTATATGCTATTCTGTTAGACATCTATATATATAAAAGGCTAATATTCAAAGTGTCCCCTTGGGAATTCAACTGGGAGACCTGGAGTTTGATTGCTTGCTATGACATGCGCTGACCACCACGGGGTGGCGCAGAATGAAGGAAAGCCCTGGCCAGCAGCTGGCAGCCAGGGAGGGAAGGCCCCAGCCAGCAGCTGGAAGGCTTCGATTGGCCCTGATCTCCAGCCAGGCCTAGGGACCCTACCCATGCACTAATTTCGTGCATCGGGCCTCTAGTGTAATAATAAAATGCCACTTAGTAGCCTCAAAGTAGCATAAATCTTTGAGCCAAAGCAGTTGTAAATGTTGTTTGAACTCTTAAAAAAAGAAAAAGAAAAAGAAGGTATTAGATTATAGATCCCCATGCCAGCTTGGCATGTAGTGAAACATGCAGCTCCTGTTTTATTGTGGAGAGATTCGGGAGCAGATACCTCCCCATGGAGCAGATACCGTGGTGACCCTTGAACCACTGTTGAGATATAAAGCTGTCACTGTTTATTCAAACCTAGCATGTATCTTTGCACTGAATCAAAAGATGGGTTTAATTCGGTGTCCTTAGGAAATTAAAGGGCAACTTGTTTCAGGGTATGAACTGTATTTGCTGCAGGCCAGGAGGTAGGAAACCAGTGACTTCCCAGGTCATGTTACTAAAATACTTTTCCTATTGAGGGGATGTTTTTATATATTGATGCTAAGATGGCTGGTTTGTTGATAGATCCACAAACAGGCTCCTCCATTAGAGGATATTGCGGATGACTGCAGTCCCGGCATGAGAGAGCTGATAGAAGCTGCCCTGGAGAGGAACCCCAATCACCGCCCCAGGGCAGCAGATCTACTAAAACATGAGGCCCTGAACCCTCCCAGAGAGGACCAGCCGCGCTGTCAGAGCCTGGATTCTGCCCTCTTTGAGCGGAAGAGGCTGCTGAGTAGGAAGGAGTTGGAACTTCCTGAGAACATTGCAGGTACAGACACCCTGCTGTGTGCACTGCCTCTGGCTTCCCTCCTTTTTGTCTACTGATGGAACTGATGAAAGCACTTGAAAAAAAAGAAAGGATTTCATGAGTGCCATAAATTGTTTGAGAAATTTCAGGAAGAATGTGAGCAAAAGCATTAAAAAAAAAAAAGGTTAATTTACCAGCAAGTTATAACAGGTTCTTAGTGCAAATGTTGGCAACACACTCATTGAGAAGTGCCTCTAACTTGCTTTTTTTGCTACAGAGAATATCATGCCTTTAAAAGCAAATCAGGTATGATAGTTTTGCTGCTGGTAAAGACTGGGGTTCTGTTAAATTGAGTTATGGTAAGCCACACCAGTCCTTGCTTGGAAACATCATGGCACTGCTCTGCCCACATAGAATACTGAGTGTGAAGTCAATTTGCATTTCTCTCTTCCCATGCTTAAAATCTCTTTGTCAACTATGAATCTTTCCCATTTAGGGAGATCAGTACGTATTGCAGGAGCATTGAATATGGGTGGAGAGGGGTTTTGTTATTTTAATAACAAAAATATTATCTGTGTCATTCTTAATCTGTTTAGATCCAAACCCAGATGTCAGGCCTGGAATGCTTGTTTGCCTTTCTGCATCTTGTCTGACTTTTTCCATATTTAAAGTGTATCATCTAGGATGTTGGAAAACATGCCAGAAATTCTAGTTAATTTCTTGTTATATTGACTCTTTTTTTTAAACTTTTTTGTGTATGAAATCTGACACAAATTAGCCCATGGTGTTCACCTCTGTAGCTCTTTAATGAAACCAGGGCTTGAATGCTACTTCATTAGGTCCAACCTGTTGCTTTTTTTTTTTTTTTTTTTTTTTTTGTAGAAGGAACAAGTATTTATTATTGAACACGTTTCCTGGTCATTTATTTTATTTTTTCAATGTTTCCCTTTTCAGATTCTTCATGCACAGGAAGCACTGAAGAATCAGAGATGCTAAAGAGACAACGTTCTCTCTACATAGACCTTGGAGCCCTGGCCGGCTATTTCAACCTTGTCCGGGGTCCACCAACGTTAGAATATGGCTGATTGTTGTTTGCTCTAAATTAATACTCAGCTTTTGTCTCCTGGAAGCTAGTTCTGCCGATTTTACACGGGGGCTCTGTCTAGTGAATTGTGCCATTTATGAGCTGGCATTGTGGGCTCCCATGACTGATGAATGTGACTCCACATGGCTCCTGTGTGTTTTATTTGTGGAGCTGCCCTGTCCACCAGGTCTAAAAGTTCTCATTTCTCAGGTGGGGTGACTCAAGGGGAGGAATTAAGTGTTCCTAGAAGGATCATTTCTGGTGACTGATTTCATTCACTGTGCACTTTGCTCAAAATTGTAAAAATATACCAATTATAAGAATAATATATTAGCCTAAAATTACTATTCTTGGTTCTAAATTAAGTCTGGGAACTTCATTTAACTCAGAATAGTTGTTTTGTATATATTAGTGTATATTATATGCCAACTCTTTGGGCCTTTGTCAGTAGATTCTAGTTTAAATTAAAGTCATTATATTTTGGGTGAATAGAGCAACTTGAATATTGTAGCAATAAGCTGAACTAGTGTCTTGCAAATGGCTAACTGATTAGTGAGAAGCCATCTGACAGCAGGCCACTAGTGATGGGTTCTGTTATGTTCCTATGGAAACATTTTGTACTGTACATGCTATGCTTAAAACATTTAAAACATGATGTTTTGAATGTGGATAAAACTGTGTAAACCACATAATTTCTGTACATCCCGACGGATGAGAAAGTGACCTTATAAAAACTGGAAACTTGTCAATTCTTACTGATGCTACTTTTGTAACTCTTATGACTCTATTTTCTTTTAAGCATTTGTATATTAAAATAGCATACTATGTATGTTTTATATCAAATGCCTTCATGAGTCTTTCATATATATATTTTTAACATTGTAAAATATGTGACTATATTTACTTAAAGTATGTTTTTACATCATGCAAATGAAACCGACACTTTTATCCAATATGATTGGTCAAATCAACTGAATAAATTCAATATTTTGCCTTAATTATTGTGAAAGGTGTTATTCTAACCCTGGACTGAAGGTGGGATCCAGGGGTTGGGATATAGGTTGGAGGAGAACATGTGTCATTAGGAGGCAAAATATACTTGAAAGCTTTGCAAATTGTATGTACGCTCCTCTTCTATTGCCACTGTATCAAGCTGTTGTCATCTGGATTGGGTTGTGTCCCTTTGGTATATTGAGGTAAAAAAATTATAAGCCACTAGTTCAGGCTAAGTCTGGTTCTATTTTGGATCTTATTTTTCTACATTTATACTGCCATGAATATATACTTGCATGCTCCGTGCCTATTAGTGTTTGCCAAGTTAATAACTAAGTTGTCTTTGTACAAGGTAGATTTCAATCATACACACCAAATTCTAATGGAAACTGTTGAATGGGTCATCATTCACTGAGTGAATAGTATTATACTTTCACACGTGTTATGTAACACACGCCAGACCTGTAATCTTCACAACACACATGTGAAAGATGTGTTGTTACCTCTGGTTTTATTCAGAGGGGAGAGCAGAGCAAGTAAAGCAATAGCTGGTATTTGAACCCAGATCTTTCTGACTTCATCGTTCATATTCTTCCTCATGCTACGCTGCTTATAAATGATAGATCATTTCACTGCAAAGCAAGCATAATGCCCCCACTGGGATTCAAGTCTCTAAATAAGGGTGAGGTGGTTTAACCACAAAGTTAATGGAGCTTCAGCTTCGGGTCCTCAGTTGCAGGGCCCCCTCCCACTGCCCACTTTCATATTATCCCTGATCAGGCCCAACAAAACCTAGATCTGGGTCAAGGTATACAATTTTTGATGATTTTTACAAAAATCTAAATAGCCAATATGAATTGAGTTCTAGTTAACAAGTTCCACTTGGAAAATACTATTCCTTTTAAAGAAATTGGGGCAGTTGTGGAGAATTGGCGGTTTTTCCCTCAAGATGTGACCGGTGGTGGCTGAGAAAGTGGTCATGAGAGCTATGAGGGGAGGTTCAGGGCTGGACCTGTGCACTGAGCATTTGCAGAGCTGTTGACCTTGGAAGCCAAGAGTTAAAGCTGGGTTAGGTCACCAGCTGGAGAATGAGCTTAAGAGAAGTAATGAGGCCCTGAGTGGGTTCTGAGGAAAACCATCACTCACCTTCTGGATACGATGAGCAGTGAGACTGCCAGGCTTGAGTGTATCTAGGACAGAATAATCGCATCCTGAAATCTGCCCACCTGCTTCAGGCAACAAGGTTTCTGATTGTGTGGTGGCATTGGGATGCATTATGGAAAATAGATGGGACCTTTCCAAATTGGGCCTCAGATATCATCTTGTCTCAGCCCCTTATGAGATAGATGGAGACATGCTTGCTGGAGGTCACCAGACCAATGCTAGAGTGTCTTCTGATTATCATCACCCACTCGTATTTGCCTGGAGATCAGCAAAAGAGCCTGAAACAGTTGATGAAGACCGTCTGCTAGCAATGTGCTGGGCCCAAGGGGATTTGCCCAGCCTTGGAGAGATGGGGATCAGCCAGTGCATCTACCCTTAGAACTAAGTTTACATTGCTATCTGACACATCACTAAGCACCACAGTGGGACCCAAAATCAGTGGGACTGATTTCTCTCACCCCTCTGTGTTCCTCCCTGGTGCATGTCCATCAGGTGACAGGCTGAAAGCCAATCTTTTTTTAAAATTATTTATATTTTTACAGAGAGGAAGGGAGAGGAATAGAGAGTTAGAAACATCAATGAGAGAGAAACATCGATCAGCTGCCTCCTGCACACTGCTTACTGGGTATGTGCCCACAATCAAGATACATGCCTTTGACCGGAATTGAACCTGGGACCCTTCAGTCCACAGGCCGATGCTCTATCCACTGAGCCAAACAGGTCAGGGCTGAAGCCAATCTTTTATTGAGAGCAAATTTCTATGTGGCAACTCAGTCTGAAAGCCATTGTTTTCTAGAGAACCTGAGGAATTTTTGTCATGGTCTGCAATGTGATTTGGAGTGGAGATTGCTTGATGCCATAGGTCCAGGGCCAAGCCCTGTGGACAGTGAGCAGGGATAGCACCCAGGGGGAGAGCAGGCTATTTAGTGGAAGGTTAAAACCTTTTGGGAACCTAATCTGGGCAAAGAACCATGCTGGCCCCTGCAGTGGACACAACTAATAGGGGGTTCTAGCCCTTCTTCTTTACCCATTCCCTGCAAAAAGTAAGCACATTCTATTATGAAATTGTTAAAAGGTTCTTTGTTTTAATATATGGCCCTGTGTATTTCCAAAAAGATGGTATTGGCCAAGCATTTACTTGCAGTTTTACCTTTTGCCTGTGAGCTAAATTGTTGAATGTCAATTTAATCTGAAATGCACAAAAAATGACTATTACAATAACATGGTTTGGGCATTCATATTAGGTTTCATAAGTTCACTTTGGGCCAAATTGAGGAGACATGCAAAGAAGACTTATACAAAGTACATTTGTACTAATCTGTAGGCACCCTCAGTGGGATTTCTGCTGGGTTCTCTCTGAGGAGGGTATGAGTGTGCACAGGGCATCATGCAATCACACTTTTTACTCCGCTGCATAAAGGCCTTCAGCCCTGGGTACAGCAGCTGCCCCTAAAAGCTGGACTTGTCTCGCCCCTCTAGAAGGACTGACTACAATTTCTTCCTATGTTATCTATATTTAATTGAGATATGGGAAATTTCTTGTCTCACTTCAAAATAAGAGGTGAGCACTCAGAAACACCACACATAAGGAAAAAAAATATCTGCTTCATGTATTTTCAGTGCTGGGATAAGTTTTGAGTACTTAACCAATCCTGAGGCATCTGTTTCATCAGAAATTACAGATAGAGGTGATAAAAATTGGCTATCTGGCTGCCCAGAGCACAATAGCTGATTTAATGAGATCCTGTTAATTCTGGTAATCATACAAGGGAAGACAACTGGAACTACAAACTGAGAAGTCCGTTGGAAAGCATGACATTCTCTCATTTCAGCTCCAAGTCTGTGGAAATGCCCTGAATTGGACTAGTAATTGTGTTGTCACAAGGATAACACTAAAAATTAGAAGAGATATAGATTGCTCTACAAATGTTGGCTATTATTATTTCCTTTAATTAATTCATGCTACATTTCCTCTCTATGAAGCTTAATTCACTGCAGTTCTCTCTTTCCCCCATGAATGCAGAATTTCAGAAAGTAGAGATTATCTTGTGCTTCATTGATTGCCCCATTATAGTGGTCCATTTATAAACTCTATTAAGACTACTCTTCTGAGACTAATTAATATTTTTCCAAGCATCAAGGAGATGAAGGACAAACAATATTTTAAGGAAAAAGACAGTTAATGGGCACTACTGAAAGCTTGGGCTAGGAGGTGGGTAGACTCCCGGTTGCGTCTGTGTGAACTGTGGGGACTGTGAGCCCCAAGCCCTGATGATAATGGCGGTTACAGGGCAGCACTGCCTGAGGCCAACAATGTCTTGCTATGGCAAAAGGAAATGGCATAACCCGACATTTAAATTCCCCTCCCCTTTTATGCCTGGGTATTTCTTCTGCTTGGAAATTCGGGTCTTGCTAAAGTGTTGCTCCAAAATAGGACAGAGGGCTGGGTGGTGACTCAGGCCTAGGAGACACCCCGTACCTCTTACAACTTTCCCATGTGATCTTATTTGTGAGTCCTTGTCAGGGCCAGGGAGCAAGAAAGCCCCAATTGCTTCTATCTTAATGAAGCTACACAGCAAAGAAAGAGAAAGAACAAGGTATTTAATTCAGACTTTCTCGCTAAACCCAAAGTTCCTTTTCTCATTTGGCCATCAGACAAGAGGTTTGGCAAGTGCCTTCCTCATTCCCCTCTTTAGCCTCTGACTCTCACTCCTGACCACGCCTCCACCCCCCCCCCCCCCCAGCCCCATTCCCTAGTTCTCTTCAGAAGCAGTTGCTGCAAGCAAAGATCTGAGCACATGCAAGCATATGTGATTCTATAATACCCTTCTTTGTAAAACAACACAATGCATACATGGTGGCATAACTGATACATAGTTTTACATCTTATTTTTTGACATAATATGTCCTAGTGATTACAGAAGGAAATTATTTAATAAGAACAATTTTATTTAACCTGAATTTTGCATTGGTCTTAAACACAGCTTCCTCCTCCCTCAATTTCTGTAGTAAAGGGAGTGGAGGGGTTCTCTTTTTGCTTTTCTTCCTCTGGAAATTGAAGTGAAGCAAATAAAAGGTGATGGCTTCTCAATTTGTTTGCAGCCACTGAAATATTTAAGATTCATTTTATAGGAAGTAAATTAAAGGGCAACAAGTGTATGGAATTGCTTAAGATCCAAATTTAATCGTGTGCAGAGCAGGGATGGAAACCAAAGCCCTTGACTTCTAATGTCAGGATCTTGCCACCAGACCACACTGCTGTTTGCTGCTTACTGTTTCATTTTCAGCTATCAAGGGACTGGGAAATCCCAGAGCAGAAGCAAGACAACCTCTCACACTCATGTTAGCATTGGGGTGTGGGGAACTGATAGGAACTATCTGACTAACTGATCAAGTTTCTCTTCTGTTGATACCGAGAGGCTGGATCCTGTCTCCATTTGATGTCATGAACTGTGATCTTTGTGGATGTGTCTATGGGGGAAAGGATGGAGGGAGAAGGGATTCTACATGTGGAGGCAAAATCTATGTGATATTAAAGGAAAATAATTGATAGTGCTTGGTAGAAGAAAATGAAGTCATGAGCTCCTTGTTGAAGTTAGTGGATAAATAATGTTGCTCAAAAACTGAATGGAAAGCCATGTGCCGAAGAACTGTGGGGTGCAGCTGTGGGTAGATAGTCATATTCC